GACACTTTTAGTGGTTAATTCTGCAAAATTTGTATAATTTTGAATAAATACATATTATAGAAAGCTTCAGTAAAAAAATCAGCAAGATTCAAGCATGCTTTCTAGTTTTTCATGGCTTAAATGACCTTTTACGCTAAGAACGGACACGAACATTACTGAATTTAAAAATTTGGTATTAAATTATATAAAACACTATACATTCCTATTATTGTATTTAAAATATTTAAAAAGTAATATTTAATTGCATCTGTAGCGTATTTATTTTTAATAACATGTGTTTTTGACGCCGCGATACCGTTGCGGCCCTTTGTTTAATTCGTCAGGTGGCCGGCTGCTAGTCGGCCGCTAGCTTCAGGTCCATTATATATATATATATATATATATATATATATATATATATATATATATATATAATGATATATAATGGAAACGCCATCACGTAAAAACTATTGAACGGCACTGGGACTTTAACCAATCAACGATCATGTATTTATTTTTAAATTCCATACACTCTTCGCCATTTTTTAGGGTTCCGTACCTCAAAAGGAAAAACGGAACCCTTACAGGATCATTTCGGTGTCCGTCTGTCTGTTTGTCAAGACCGTTTTACTCAGGAGCGCCCCACGCGTTCCGTTATCAAGTTGAAATTAATATACTTAGGTCTGCAATCCCTTGGAACTGTGAAAAATAAATAAATATGTTGAGACATTAACACACAGCACCATCTAGTTCTACGGTAAGCTACGAGGCTTGTGTTATGGATACCAGATAGTTGATACACTACACATATATAGCTTTTAAATACATACATATTATAAATATAAACACCCATGACTGGAGTACGAAAATTCGTGCTCATTGCACAAATGAATGCCCCCAGCGGGACTCGAACCCGCGACCACTGGCACCGCAAGTAGGGTCACTACAGACTGAGCCACACACGTCGTCAAGACCCTTTTGCTCAGGAGCGCTCCACGCGTTCCGGTATCAAGTTGAAATTAATATACTTAGGTCTGCAATCCCTTGGAGCTGTGAAAAATGTTGTATGTTTTGACACTCGCAAGAGAATCATAACCTATATGATAGGTACCTTCTATTGACTTATGCCCAATTTCACCAACATCCCATAACCTACCACCTACGTATGGGATCTCTAGCTTAAAAGTTCCCCTAAACTAGCCCCTAAATTAAATTTCGTTTTACCATTGTCTGAGCCCGTATTTCTAGTACCTATATTTAGGTGGCATTTTAACATTTAGATTAAGGTGACCCCTAACTGTCGGTGAAACAGAAACTGTCCCCTAACAGCCCCCTAACCATGCTTAGGGGATCCCTTAAACTTAGGTGACGTTGGTGAAATCGGGCATTAGAATCGTGAAATTTGGTAAAAAGCAACGTCTTATAGCACAAGTAAATGCTATTTATAAACCTAATTAATATTGCTACGGAACCCTCGATGTGTGAGTCAGATTCGCACTTTCCGATTTTTTTTTATTTACTTTCATAATTATTTTTTCCCGCCAATAAAAACAGAAGCCACTACACTTTTATTTTGTTCATTAATTATTTTACATAACCTAAATATTTTAATTTATAAGGGAAAAATCTAAATAGGTATATTAAGGTCATACAGATAACTTTACATGAAGGTACGAAATATTTATAATTAAAAATGGACTCGAAATAATATTTCTAGAAAAGGCTGTTCGAGATAATGACGACATTTATATGGAAATTAATTCTTTTTTTTCAATTCTACATGAATTTAAGTACCTATTATTGTTGCTGTCCGACATTAATCAAAATATTAAGCAAGAAAATCAAGAAATACCTAAATAAAATTTAAAAAAAAAGTACACGGACGGGACCGGTATGTACTTACTCGTAAATTATTTCATTGATTCAACCTGATATTATAAATTGTAAGTAAAAATATACTTTATAAAATTATCTAAATATTCAAATCAGATAAAAGTATTTCGAATAGTTGATATTTAAGGCGTTTCAAGGACTTCCGTGTTGCTAAAGTCAACCGGTTTTGTTTAACCGGCTAGATGTTGGTTGCGAAAAATAAATATCTACTGAAGTATAAGTATAATAAAACATGCAATATTAATCGCATTATTTCCTACAAATATAAATTATATTCATTCTATAAAAATATTATAAAAACTAAATCTAGGTATTGCTGGTTTGACTTGGAATGGCTAAACGTCTGAATCGATTTTAAACCCTTAACCTTAAACCTATAACTCCATATAGACGGATTTGCAAAATTCTTCTAATGATCCATAGAGGTGTATTCCAAAATGGTACTATTTAAATTTGGAAAAAAAAAAACATTCCTAGGTATAGAAAATAGGGGTGATGGACTTTTCACCTACTGAATTTTTAGAATATTTTTTTCTTATTTTGCTACTACTGTAAAGCATTCGAAACGCCGGGAACCAAAAATCTAAATAAATCCGCAAAAAAATCCGAAAAGATGGTTTTATTTAAAAGATATTTCATTTTGCTAGCTAGACATAACTTTACGAAATAATCTTGCCTTAATAGATTAGCTTAAACACTTTTAATTTTAATCTAATTTATATTATATTATCTATACTAAAAATGGAAAAAAAAACAGACTTCAAAAAAAAAAACACTACAAAGTGAATTATAAGATTGGTAGTTTTCATTTACTATAGATACCAAATCAGATATTTTCGTATTCGGCGCCAGCCGGCACATTTAAATCAAAGCACTACTAAAATCAAAGAATCTCGTGTTTTTTTTTCACACCTACCTAAGTAATAAATTTCTAAATTAAAACCCATTTAAAGTCATTCGCTTTTATTTATTTGCATGGAAACTAGGATGTTACATAGTATTTATATTCTGTATAATAGTTTCAATTGTAGCCAATTAATAAAATATGATCAATAAAAATCTATACTTGGAAAAGATATTTGTTTCCTCGTCTTTTCAAGAAACAGCTACAGATGTGTTACCTCATATTTCTTTTCTTGAAAGTCTGGAATGAAAAATCAGTTTATAGCTTAAATATAATGATTTAATGTTGATAAGGCTGCTACCCTCTAAGTAACGTAAAAATATTTAATATATAATTCATAAATAAAAATATTAAAATCGTTGGAGAATTAGATACATAGCAATAAAAAGTATTTTTAAAACTGTACCAAATTGGAAAAAATAGTGTTCAAATCGTGTTTGGATTTTTTTCACGGCTTAAAAATACATAACATACTCGTAAGTCTTTTTCTTTGGAATTAGAATAGTTACATAAGCCTGTTGAAGCCTCTGACTCCCAAACTAGAATAAACCTGTATGTCAGGAGTCAGTCAATTAGAGGAACTCAATACTCATGGTTCATTAAATAATATATAGATTACAGGGTTTTCGCGACCAATTTCAATTTGGCGGCTGTTTTCGGAACTAACAACACAGAAACAACTAGTTAATCCCAAACAAAATTAACATACGATGTATCCCTTCAGTTTCTCTAAAATACCTTCTAAGAAATTAATATTTCTAGTAATTTGACTGTTTTAATCATTATTTTAAATAAAATTGTGACTTCTCCATTTTCTATTTCTGAACGCAAGTATCTATCTTATAATAATATTAAACACATGGTACATTTCTGCTCTAATATATTTTAAATTTTATTTTAATTTTGGAGTACAGAATATAATAATCATAAAATTTGTTATTACAAAATATAAATGACATATTTTTAACTGGTAAAATAGATCAATAAATGTGGCAATTTATAACTGGAAACATAGTCAGTGTACAACCAGTGATGTAAAAGTTTCCGATTCATCGGGAGATCACTGATTTTGGTTTTTGTCTCCCGATATACCGATTTAGCGATTGTATCTCCCGATTTTTGCATTCTCTACTAATGTATAATAATATTCATAAAAAAAGGAAAATAAGGTTATGGAATTACTAAACTAAGGAACACAACACAAATTAACTAAAACGGCTGGGACCAAATGCATATTCACTTGTTTTTTAATTAACAATGAATATAAAATAGCAAGCAAATAAAAACAACTAATTATTTAAATCAAAGCTACGGCGTTTCTTAACTAGATAACACTAAGAAATTTTCAGAAAGTCAAACTTTCACATTATCAGTAGCAAACTTAAAGGCCATTATATGGATAAGCCGAATAAACATTATGTCAGTCAGATTTGTTGCCGTGCTATACATCACAGTTGGCTCTTAAATTTTGTAAGATTATTAACTTCATCACATTTCTAAAACTACTGAACTTCCTGGAGAAACTGGGATGGCAAGAGTAACACGAATTTATATTCCCACACACGCAAAATAGGCGCATAGTCGTCGAGTTACGGAAACTAGCCCGAACATACCATACCATACCGTTAGAATAGATTTATCAGAGATGAGATATTTTCCCGTAGTAAAAATTCTATACGTTGACCCAAAGAACCAGCTATCATCATACCAAATTTCAACAAAATCTGTCCAGTGGTTTTCACGTGATGCGGTCACAAACAGATATACAAAAATTCTAAAAACTATAGATTCGACCTCTGTATCGATAATAATGACTATTTCAATGAGATTTTCCAAAAAATCTTTAATGTACAGATTCGACTCAGTCATGTATAGTTTTGATTGACATTGAGAAAAATGAAACGAGGAAGAACGGCATTTAATAGTACGCGTTTTATGATTTGATTACCTTTAGTTTTAAAACTACCCAAACCGATCAAGTACATTTAAAAAACTCCCGATTTCTCCCGATATACAGCTGGTAAATTTATCGATCTTTTATTTTTCATTTTGGCAACACTGAGTACAACTACAAACAAGCTTTCTGTAATTCTGTAATCTCAAATCTGTTTAGTTTGTTGTACCTGTCCGCCGGGTAACACTAACAACAGGTCGTAAAGAAAATGCTCATAAAGTAAATTATATAAAAATATTTTTAAAGTGGTAAATAGTGAAACTTTTCAAAATGAATAAGCTAATATTGTTTATGTTGTTGTTTATTTCGTATACAGCTTTCTGTGACACAGGGAATGATACTAATGTTCTTGGTAAGTTGCTTTTTTTAGAGAAGTAAATTTTAAACTAAATAAATTTATATGTAGGTATCTAAAGCAGAATTATTTAAGTAAAATGACAATAGAAATTAATTCTTATATAACATCATAGGGAAGGATCCGGTTTAGTTATTTTTAGATTAAAATCAATAATGTCGTCAGTCCTGGAATCAATACTCATGTAAGTACATTGCGCAGATACGTTCCAGTAAGGAGCCATTTTGATAACATTCAAGGTCCTTCGGGAAGGTCCTTTATATGTCATAGATACATGCATCAAATTTTAAAATAAGTCTAAAAGAGATTCTTACCTTTACAAAATATCTTTTGTTTACAAACAAAAACAACACTTTTAATCAAACCTAAGATTTTTACCACAATATTTAGGGCTTACAGTGTTACGATTATCATATAATATTTAGGTGGGCAAAACTTTTTTTAATATTTTAATAGTGAACTTGGAAGGACTTTAGAATAAACATCCCCTTAAATATATATGAAGGGGAGAGAAGTGGGGAGGGGGGGGGGTGTTTGTAAACCCCTCCCCCTCTCCCCGCAAATGAAAAGTGGAGGAACTCTGAAATATATATGGAGAAAATCTGAAATAACTGTGAAATTGTTTAAACCAAATAAAATATTGAGAATGTTCAAATGAAAGGAAAAAAATGTAAATTTAATGAATTATTTTTAAGTTTTTACTGTTACTAGGGTAGTGTACCTACATTATATCATTTTTAGCAACCATTGTGCCACATAGTCATCAATTAGATACAAAATCTTGACTTGTATGGGAGATTTATGCTTGAATGACGATTCTAAGTTGACAAAGTTCTTCGTTTTGATTAGATACTTAGATTTCAGTTTTAATATATAGACTGTCTAAACTCTATGATTCTTCATTTTATTTGGGATGCCATCTTGGATTTGGAGCTATTTCATGGTGTACTGTATACTACTCATTAAGCCCTTTCATTTGATACCCTTATTGAGAGGGTTGAAAAAGAGAATGTAATCCGTTATTTTGTGGCATCCGCCATATTATACTGTATTCTACTAGTCAAGCCCTTTCATTTGATAACCATATTGAGGGGGTTGTAAATAATATGCACTCCGCCATTTTGTGAAGGCGGCCATTTTAGATTTACAGTGATACTGTATACACATACTTGTATTGTCAGAATTATGTACCAAATTTCACACAAGACACAAAAAATGCAAGCTAAATAAAACTTTAATATTTTGACAAGCACTAGTAATAATATCATCTAATAATATCTATTTAAAAAAACACAAGATCCATTACTTAATATATTGTCCATCGCTATCTACAACTATTCTCTATATTTCTGGCAAGAGACAAATGACGCGGTTAAATGTTTCCAAGGATGTTTTTACTGACTTTGCCGTGTGTTTCGATGTTTAGCGGCCGATTTTCCTTGCACGGCTCAAAGAAAAATGCACGACTCGCACTCCTTTAATCCCACCAAATACAGAGCAGGTGCTTAGACCCATGGATGGTCTGCTGTTTGCCACTGGCTTTGGATGTTTTTTTGAGTAATAACGGATAAGGATCTCATTATTTAAATACTGCCTCCTTACATTGGGTAAAATAAATCGTACACAATTGTTTTTTGGCCCTTAATGCTAAGTTATTAATGTTAAACCACCGAAGTACGTATATGTGATAATGCGCTGTTTACATCGTCATAATTAGTTATAATTCTGTCAACTTTAAAAATTGAAGAGGTACCTACTATCCATAAACAGTACAAAATGACATACCCTGTTAGCATAAATAGAGACATCATTTATATAAACTAGAAATAAAAATGAACCCAAGATAGGTCCTTGTGGAACATCCGTTTTCGGTGGAGATCCAGAAGAATTAACGTTGTTTACAATGACTTTCTGGACTCTACTGCTAAGATATGAGAAGCAATGAGATCGAGGGCAATACCACGAATGCCGTAATGATTTAGTTTAAGCAGGAGATTTTTATGTTCTATGCAATCAAAAGCCTTAGATAAATCTCAAAAGATATTAGCTGTAGACCTGCCTTTAACAAATACACAAACGCAGTAACATTATTGTTTTATCTATATATCTATACCCTATACTAATATTATAAAGAGAAAAGATTTTTTTGTTTATTTGTACCGAATAAGCTCTGAAACTACTGAACCGAGTTAGATGAAATTTAGTAAGAAGATAGTTTGAGACCCTGGGAAGGACATAGGATAGATTATAGATTTTTATTGCGGAAATCATCCCTTAAGGGGGTGAGAATGGGGATGAAAGTTTGTATGGGGAAGCAATCTAGGGACTAACCCGAGCGAAGCGAGGGTGAACCGCTAGTAAAACATAAATTTTATTGATGGAACCATACTATTACAGATGATTTTAAATGCTCCCTCCCTGATGTCACCACTGTGGATGACAATCTTGATATCGGCAGATTCAGATCGGACTTTTCTAAAATTTCTGAGGTTTGTAATGTTTATTAGACATTTTTATTTCAGCATGTGTAAAGTATGTTTCAAAATTATTTTGTTTCATTGAAACAAACTTAGCTATTTCTAAAGGTCAAAGGTTGAACTTTTTTCGCGTTTTAAGGAGCTCTAGGTTTAATATTATGACAAACAAAGACAATTTTGATTGAACTATATAAATTATTGTGCATTTTCATTAAAGCAATACTCTTTCAAGGCTTATGTTTCTAAAGGACGTGCCTGTTTGTTTTGCCTTTCGTTCTAGTTTGAAGTATTACAATATTACAAATAATATAAAAGTTATATAATTTAATAAAAATAAGGTAAAAATAAGAGGAAAAAATTAAAAAAAAGGGAAAAAAGAAGGGAAAAAATAGATTAACCAAATAATTTACTAAAAAACTAAAATTGTATTTCCCATACAGGTAAAGTTCCCAGGACTGATTGGACCCACCAATGAACGTCTCATCTGTAAGATAAAATGTATTGACGGCAATTGGGTCGGCCCACTTTGCTCTCAAACACCAAGTAAGCATGAGTCAATATTTGTCTAACATTTAGAATTTTGTATATTAGATACCAGATGTTAATCTATACACATAATAAAATTCTGACTCAGATGTGTACATTAAATATTTTTTGGAAAATTTTATTGAAATAATCGTTATTATCGATCTATAGTTTTTAGAAGTTTTGTCTGTCTGTCTCTCTGGGAACGCATCACGAGAAAACCGCTGGACAGATTTTGATGAAATTTGTTATGATGATAGTTATCCGGGTCAATATATAGGATGCCTTTTAATAAGTATCTCATCATACCATACCAAGTATCTCATCTCTGAGAAATCGATACTATACGTTAAAACGTAACGCTAGTCTATACTTTAATAATAGTTTATTAAAAAGAGTCAGTTTGTTTGTTTGAACGCGCTAATCTCAGGAACTACTAACCCGATTTGAATTTTTTTTGTTGCATTAGAGAGCCTGTTTATTGAAGAAGGCTACAGGCTAAATATCATATAGTACAAACAACTTAATCTAATGATGATTCCAAATTAATATCTGGCAAAAGATTAAATATGTCCTATTATCATATAGTATATAATCTATCTATTCCATACTAACCGCTTAAACGTACCTTGGAAACCAAGGGTGAGTCGCTAGTCATAGAATAAAATGTAAAAGATTATCTTTTAAAGCTTTGAATGTCAATTAGGCATATTCCAGTATAAAATAAAAATGAATATGAATAAAAGTGAATATGAATGTGCTTTCAAACCTCAATAATTAATGGGAGGTGGGGGTAGGAGTGAGAAAAATAGTTAACGACCTATTCTCATACCTACCAAATATACAAAAATTTTTTTATTAAAATCGGTCAAGCCGTTTGGGAGAAGTCCGAACACAAACACATCTTGATGCAGGATTGTTCAGGTTTAAGTTTTATTTATTTCTTATTTTAATTTAAAAAATAGTTTAGAAACTATTGATGGCATGAACATTTTTATTAATTGAAATAATAGGTAAAAAAATTCCAGATGGTCGCTTCCAGCCTATCCTCCGGGAATGTCTCTATCGCAACCAAAACCCTCTTATGGCTGTTGCATTTAAAAACGACTCCATATTGGTAAGTGTACTTGTTTCGATAATTTTTAAATTATTTTATTACAGATGTTGTTTATATTTCAAAAAAATATTTTGTTTTAAATTTTTTTTTTAAAGCTTAATTTAAAATATATAATTGGTCTTACAGAATGAGAGCAACTGGCGTCAAACATGATTGGTTTGTTAGTTTCAGACATTTTTTTTTTAATAACAACTAATACTAAGTAGTATGATTGTACCTATGTTATGCTTTAATACTGGTATTACACGGTTTTAGAGTTTGCACTTTGCTACCGGTTTCACAAAAGTAATATGCTACAAAATATTATATTACATTTATTAATATGTAAACTAAAATTAACTGGTTTTAAATGCTTGGGTGGTGGTCCTTTAAGGTTTGGCTTTAGCTGTACACTAACTTGTCGAGAGTATCTAAATATGTAATATGTATGTATAATGTATGTATATAATAACTAACGACTCACTCTCGCTTCACATCAGGTTCGTCCCTAGTAAAAAACAAATCTATTCCACGGATACTGTAAATTTATCCGGGGTAAAAGTTTAAGTATATGTCAGGAAGTGCCAAATTAAATAATTAATTACTTTTTGCGGTTTTATATTTTTGTTTTTATTATTTTTAGTATTGTTTTTTACTTTTTAATAAGGTGTATGCGTGTTGGTTTTAGGTTTGAAACTGGTTTAAGAAAACTATATATTATATATGTATATTGATGCTAACATAATTATTTTGTATGCTTTTTTAAGATTTAAGAATTGTAGCTAAAGCACTGTTCCACTAGTTGTATTGTAAGTAACAAAATTAGCAAAGTATCGTAACTAAATTGTACATTAACTAAATTAAACGCTTAAGTGAACATGATTATCACGAAAATATATTATATAAATATATAATAATATTATATAAATATATTATATCATATTATATAAATATATTATATAATATTATATAAATATATTTATAATTAACTAACATATTATTGAAGTTATACTTCTTTTGGCATGTTTGAAAAAAAATATGAGATTAAAATTTTTACGATGCCCACACCGACACCCAAAATGCGACATGATGAAGTTAGCTGCTTTCCTTTTACAAACAGAGAGTTGTGACATACGGGATGAAATCTTTAGCTATTTTTGTTCTGTTACACCAAAGAAGTATAACTTCTTACGTGCGTACATAAGTACACGCACACGTTGTTTTTTTATTAAAAAACATTATTTTGAATAAAATTGTGATTGTGAAAATTGTCCTTGTAGCTAATTTCACCCCACATTTATAGTTTAAAAAGTAAATGGGTTTAAGTCTACATAAAACCCAACAATATTTTGTCGCTTTAGTGCTTATTTGTTCAAACCATAAATACTTATTGTTCTTTACAGTATATTCTTTTTCCTCTATTTTGAAAAAAAAAATGTTTACAGCTTTATTAAAGTAAAAACAAAAATAAATTATCCCACATCCGTTCAGCCGTTCTGGCGTGACTGAGTAACAAACAGCCAAACATCTAAACTTTCAAATTTATAATACATTATTAGTATAGAAAAAATTTCTAATACATTAATATATAGAGTTTTTGTATATCAATGAATGATAAAGTGAAATCAAAACAATGGATGGAATATGGATGGTCTACAGTCTACACTCTATAAGAACGATTTACAACAATAAAGATTGATTCATCAATCAAAAAAGTACTAGATATAAAAGTTCCCCATCCCGTAGAAAAGTTCTTTAAAACTGTCATCAATTGTGTTTAGAAAATTATTCTAGTTGAAATAAATATACAACAATGTAAATTGAACCTTAAATGGTATGCTTAAGTTATTTTTACAAAAAAAAAAAATTAAAGGGCGTGAAGACATTTTGTACCGCTGATTGTATTAGTATTGTATCTAGTACTTTTTTGTTAGATGGCTTTATTAAAATAAAACGTGTATTAAATACCAATAGAATTGACATTTAAAAATCAATAATTTAGTATTAAAAACTCTTTCGGTAAATTGGTCGTTTGGACAAATAAGCACTGAGATGACGATTTATGGAATATTTAGGTCTTAAATGGTATTTCTTGTTTCATAGATTGATACATATTTTCCCCATGGATCGGTGATTGTGGCCAGATGCAAGCACTTCGGTTTATACAAGCTTACTGGGGATAATATGCTGCGATGTGAGAATGGGGAGTGGTCTTCTAAGATGCCCAAATGCGTACCCACTTCTGTCATCACCAATTACACTGGTATGTATTCATTTTTAACGTCCCACTGCTGGGAGTGGGCTTCCCTTCGATACAAGGAGGATCAGGGCATAGACCACCACGCTGGCTAAGTGGTAAGCATATGCTTTGAAAACTTGCTACGTTCTCACAGACATTAAGATTTCTTCACATTGTTTTCCTTCACCGTAAGATGAGTGGTAATCATGTTGGATATGATTCTCACATGAAATTATCAGAGCGAGAGCCTAGATTTGAACTCGCTTCACTGGTTTCTCAGCTGCCATCTAAGCTATATTAAAACTTTATTTTTCCATACAGATGGTGCACCACCAACCATCCAATACATAGCTGTGGCAGGCTCAGCTATAGTTGAGCTTAGTGGGGAACTGTACGTGTATCCAGGGAGTACCATCTGGCTGGACTGCCTCTGGCCGAGGTCCTTGGGAAGACCGTATTGGAGTTGGACACAGTCATACAGACACTACGCGGGTAAGTTTTTGGGCAATTTTCTATTAAGTTTTGTAATATCTATAGTCTGTTTTTTAATCTCAGAGACCAAACTGACATTACGTGGGTTACCAGTTTTTTGCAATTCTTAAATAGTGATGTGCCACTATCGAAAATTAACGTTAATAAAATCAAGTATAGTTTTTTTATAATAAGTTATCTTGAAATAATGTGTAGTTACTTATTTAAAACTTAATAAGACAAAATTAATAATGCAATTTTTTTAATAATGTGGATTTTAATGATACTTAATAATTTAAAATTAATAAATATGATATTTAATGATTTAGGATTGATAATCTGAATTTTAATGATACACTTTGGAATATAAAACTTTGCGCTCAAAACGAATCGTCCGATATTGTAGGTACAACACTGCGCAAAACAGCTGGTAGTATTATTTGTAAATTTGATATTTGCATGTGTCAATTTAATCACTGAGATTAAGAAACAGAATATAATGTATTTAATAAATAAAATTTAGGCCCGCTCAACACCACAGTGGACTGGATTATTATACAAGAAACAATAAATATATTCACACTATCAATAAGAATCAAGTTTCGGTACAGTTGCACTCCAGCAAGGTTTTTTTTTATATAAAAAAAAATTTAAAAAATTGACAATTCAAAAGAGCTTGTAAAAGTCTATTTGAACAAAGTATATTTTGATTTGATTATGATTTTAACTAGGAATGTATTTATGTAACTTTTGTTGGGTTATAATAATAAAATTAATAAATTATTACATCTCTTAGCCTGGGCGAGCCACACTGGCGAGACGGACCTCCATTATAGACTAGTGCTAGCCCGCGTCTCCGCGAGCCATACGGACACCTACACGTGCACCTCTCCCGCCGGCAGCACTAACACCGTCGCCGTTAAAGTTGTTAGTGAGTCATATTGCATGTGGCTTAGCTTATATATACGTGGGGGGATGTTTTTTTTGTTGACTGTTTTTTTTTTGCGCAATAATCGTGTTTTTTTTGGTTTGCTTTTTTTTATTGATTGTAGGCGTTTGGAATTTTTTGGATTTTTTTTTCATATAACCGTATTCGGATTGATTTTTTCTTAGAAACATTTAAAAGATTAGCCAAAAAATACAGCGTTTTATTGTTGTTTATTTAGACGTTAGTGTTTTAAAATATGCAAGGTTTTTTTTTATTTTCTAAACACCAATTTGGCCAATATTTGTGTTTTGTAAAAAATTATGTAGGAAAATGTCTGCAATAAAAAATAATCACGCTAAAGATGAAAGTTTTATGCTTTATAAAATACTAAATAGGCTAAGCTTCTACTATGTAGATGTGAGGCTTTTCATAAACTACGTCAATATATTAAAACTAAATTAGCGACTCGCCCTCGCTGCGACTCTGGTTCGTCCCTAGAATTAAAACAATCTATCCCAGGGGACCATACATTTTTCCGGGATGTTATATAGCCTATGGCCTTCCTCAATAAATGGGTTATTTAGTACAAAATCGGATTAGTAGTTCCTGAGATTAGCGCGTTCAAACAAACAACAACTCTGCCTCTTTATAACATTAGTATAAATTAAGACAAAATTTCTAATAATAAAAAAATATAACATTATCAATACAATTGAAGTATATACGGTACATATAAGTAAACATTTTTTTTTGCCTGTTTGTTCCGGCTAGTCTCCGAAATGGGTGGACTGATTTTGACGGAACTTTCTCTGGCAGATAGCTGATGTTATAAGGGGTAACTTAGGCTACTTTTATTTTAGAAAAAGAATTAGGATTTTCCACGCAAAAAAATTAAAACCCATGAAGTTGTGACTGTAATTCGCGTACTTAGGAACTCACTCGAGTGAATCGAGGGTAAGTCGCTAGTCTTAGATATGTTAATAAAGCTCGGTATTATTTATGCTTAGCTTAACTTAATGTTGATTTACATTTATATATTATACAAGGTTTTCAATCCCATTTTGCCCCCTTATGGGATGATTTCCGGGATAAAAACTATCCTATGTCCTTTCCAAGTTCTCAAATTATCTCTATACGAAATTTCATCTAAATCGGTTCGGCGGATTGAGTGAGAAAAGATAACAGACAGACAGTTATTTGACTACTTGCTGTGCCAGCGGTCTCGGATTCGAGTTCCGCTAGGGGGGGTATATATTCATATACCTTTTAAATACATGGCTGTTTATACTTATAATCCGTATATATTTAAAGTTATATATGTGTAGTGTATCAACTATCTGGTATCCATAACAAAAGCCTCGTAGCTTACCATGGAACTAGATGGCGCTGTGTATTGATGTCCCAATATATTTATTTATTTATAACTAGCTAGGTACGTTTTGACGGTTAGTATGAAACACAAATCTTTTAATTTTTCGGTTTTCTGTGCTATAATATGCATGTGTTACATATAAACCTTCCTCTTGAATCACTCTATCTATTATAAAAACCTCATAAAAATCCATTGCGTTGTTTTAAAGATGTAAGCATACATAGGGACAGACAGACAGCTGGAAGCGACTTTGTTTTATACTATGTAGTGATATTAGTATGGATTATTATAAAGCATGTTAATTATCAAATTCCAGACATAGTTTGTCCGCCGATTAACGTTTCGTCACCCCATGTTCATCAGTTCGCACAAGGGTCGCGGCTGGGAAACTCTGTTCACTTCAGCTGCCAGCCTGGCTACCAGCTCAATGGCTCTGCTGTTGTTAACTGCATGGGGGACGGTGAGGGTTCTTATGTTATTCAGCAGAAACTTTAAGAAACTTTAATATTATATTTTTATTTCTATTCATACTTCAAACTATATATATATATATATATATATATATATATATATATATATATATATATATATATATATATATATATAGTTTGAAAAGAAAAGTTATTATTTTTATGAAGAAGGACTTTTTTATTTTTTGTATGTTTGCGTTGGAAGTATTTAATGGATTAAGTTTTAAAATAAGGTTGATTTTTTTACACTATTTCAAATGCAGATTATTTAAGTATTTTTTCGTATAATAAATACTGATGAAATTCTTAAAATATAGTGAGTTTAAAAAATACACTTATAAAAGTATAAATATTATTATTTTTTTGTATCTTTTTTAAAGTTTAGTAAACTGATTTAGTCAATCATCTCAACTTTATTAAATCATCTCAACTTAAAATTTAAACACACGCGTCTTCCAAATAAGCAGATATATTAATACATAAAAAATCAAATGCCTGAATTTTTACCATTTTTTCCTGGTTTTGATGATAATTAATGATAATAATAATAATTAAATATATCACCAGGGCGTTGGTCATCTCAACCACCAACATGTGTAGAAACATTTTGTCCTGCGCTGCGTGCTGCGGGCGCGCTCAGCGTGCTCGAGCACGACGCGTCGCACGGCGGACGCGCGGTTTTCGCGTGCGCGTGGGGTTACCGGCTGGTGGGCGCGCCGGGGCTCGAGTGCGAGCCTGACGGACGGTGGAGCGGTGATGTGCCGCGGTGCGCGCGTGAGTTACCACCTTTATATTTTTGGTTGACTCAATATGAGCGTGTGGGATTGGCTTTATGACTTTGGTTGGGTTGAGGTGTGCGTGTGTTACCGCCTTAATGTTTTGAATGAGGTTTTTGTTCTTGGGATTTTTTTTATTTTCGTTCAGTACTTGGTGGAAATATTCAGCAGGTGTTCTATTTTGTTACTTTTTTAATTAAGTTGATGTTAAAGAAACATTAATTCAAACACTTTTGTAATATGTATTTTACCGCCCATAATTTTGCTGGAACGCTTTGCTGTACTATAAATGATGTAAATAATAAATGTATTATTCTGTTCACAGCCATTTACTGTCCGGACCCACTCGTGCCCGAAAAAGGCCGTTTGCTGACTTCATCATCTAAAGAATCGAAATATCCTGTCGGAGATCTCATTATTTATTCCTGTGAAGTGGGATACGAAATTTTGGGTGAATCATCTATAGTGTGCACTGAAAATGGATTTTGGTCACACCCCCCACCATTTTGTCTACCCCCCTCGGAAATAAAAAAAGCCGACACGATATACATCGATAATACAACTTTAGTGAACTTTGAAGAATAATTGTAGTGATAAAATTATAAGGAACAATAATAAATAATCGGTAAATTATATACGTAATGGAATAAGTGGAATATCTCATTCTTAATCTTCTCGGGATTTGTGGTTCTGGACTCACTATTATAGTAATATAAAATTAATATTAAAATGGTTATAAAGAACTCATACGCGCTAGGGTATACCTGTGTGGGGGTATATTGCAGCGTGTATTGCCACCTTTATATATCCGGATGTCGTTTAACCGCTTCCGGTTAAATGTCTAAATTGTGCGGTCTATTAAATTATCTGTATAAGTGACACTGGCAGAATGTATTGCGTCTTGATAACACATTAAGAAAAAAAAATATTATCTATGACTATTAACTTGTCAATTAGATGTATGTAAGGACATTTTATTGTTGGTAGTATAAGTATTTAGATCTCAATGGAATCTTTACAAAATATAAATTTACATATATTTCTATTTACTTTACAATTTGCTTTTGAGACTTTTTAGAATATATATTATCTATTTTGAGTATACTCGTTATGATAAAGACAAATCTTTAAAAGAATATCTTTACATATGTTAAACATTTTTGTATAGTTTTTGGAATATGTACACGTACATGTTTCTTTACAAACCATGTCTAACGCTATTTTTAAATCTTACAATATTAATAATATTTAGCATAATTGTAAGTTTTAACTTCTTTATATATTTATAACAAAAAATTGACTAAGAGTTTTGGGAATTATATTAAGGTCGAAAATTGTCATATTTATTTATTGTAGTTTTATCTTCAAAAATTGTAGCTAAGTAATTATATACATTGATAAAATTGACATTTCTTTGAAGATTCAAAGTTTGTCATATCTATTAGTCTTAATCGGTATTAAAACTATGTATTTTATAAGTATTTTAAAATTCTATTTATGAGTCTTGAAGACCGACACGTGTCATATCTATTTCTTAGATATAAGAATAAAGACAAAAAAAAACAATAAAAAAATTAAAAAAATATTAAAAAAAAAATACTACTATGAAAAAACTTAAATTACAGTAGCCATTAGTATTTATGATACAAAAAGAACTAGGCGTGTCATATCGATTTACTGAAAATTTTGAAAAAAAAATATATTTATTCATAGTCTGTAAGATTTTGGTAGTTTTTAGGAACATCATATTTATCCACTATAGTATATATATTTAGAGCATTCTATGCGTCTTGCACTGTTTTGGTATGGGTATTACAGGAAATTGGCTTAAAAATTAACTTAATCTCATAGGGTCTCATCACGAACAAAGAAAAATTAGATCTAATAAATATTAATAGATGTCGTTACGTTGTATAATAGAATTCCACAATCCATTTTGAGCTTGCCATTTAAATAATTTAAGTCTAAAATTAAAAATGTATGACTGAATAAGGCTTATTATACTGTCACGGAATACTTCGTAGATATCAATGTGTGAAACCAATGTCTGGTCTCACGGGGAACAAATAGATAATTACTGTATTACGATATTGTACACAATTATTATTTTAAAAGCAACTGTTGAGTTTATCGCCGGTTCTTCTCAGCAGAACTGCATTCCGAGCCGGTGGTAGATTCCTATCGGACTGACTACACTGACATTTAATTTAAATTGAAAATGTAAAATTGACGATTCGAAAAAGCTTGTAAAAATCTATTTGAATAAAGTTGGTATATCTTGATTTAATTTGACATGTCATTTGTCATTAAAGTTGTGTTAAATTAGCAAAAGTTGAAAATAGGATCCATAAAACAAATATTATCGTTTTAAAAAATATTCTAAGTAAAGGGAAAAGAAATAATGCGCACGTAAATCAAATTTGCGTAATTTCACAGATTATTGAAATATCAACAATCAGATGATGGTTTTGTAGTGTATATTCACGTATGATGCTTTTGCTTTTTGAGTCAAGGCTAAAAATTGTTCAAATCACTTTTTTTTATTCGATTGCAAGATGAATATTACAATAATTAACATAAGTTAGTTGGCACATATTTATAAAATAACACGGTTTAACTATTTGCGAATCAACGACATCTATTATCTATTCAAGCAAACAAAAATATACCGAAGAATAGCCCGAATTAGCGCTGTCCAATGTCTTTGTATCGGATGAGACATCTGTATTAGTATATAGTATTATGTGATCTGTGTTAATATATAATAAAATATATGTATTTACATTTCTAGAAATAATTGTTCTGGTATGGCACTACTACTGCGAGGGTATATATCTTATGATGAATGTGAACGATGCGCTTTAAATTATTAATAATATTCTTATTTGAAATCATAATTAATCAATATAATATAACCATATTAAATTATTCGAGCATTACTGGATTTTTTTTTATTTATCCCCACGCGCCATGGCTTAGTTGTAAAGTAACGCATCCATACTAATATTATTATAAATGTGAAAGTGTGTTTGTTAGTCCTTCTTTCACGTCAAAACAGAGACTCGTATTAGTCTAAGATCCTGATCTATTTAGTAGACATCTCATTCTTTTACCAGCTGAAATATATTTTTTAAACAATAAAACATTAACAAACACGACAAGGGGGGATGTCACCGAAAATATTTTGCTCCAGGCTATTTTTAATACATCGGAATCTACTGAATCCCGATTAGTATACAGAGTATATATACTAATTGGGATTATATATATAACTAGCGACTCACCCTCGCTTCTCTCGGATTCGTCCCTAGGTACGTTTTAAATTAAAATGGATATAGTATGTTATCCTTAACAGATAGACATATGCCATCGCGGACTTTTCTGTACACCTATATAAGATACACAATTCTACCATACATTATTATGTTATATCTCAAAGGGTTTAGGCAGCGTTTTCATTGAAAGCTCCCAGACGTCTTATTTTTTCCGACACCTCCAACAAATATCGTTATATTTTAGCCAATGTATACAACAACTTAATAAATTATATACTAAAACCTTCCTCTTGAATCACTCTATTAAAAAAAACCGCATCAAAATCCGTTGCGTAGTTTTAAAGATTTAAGCATACAGGGATATAGGGACAGAGAAAGCGACTTTGTTTTATACTATGTTGATGAAGTTAATTATTTTTTGAAAAAAAAATACAATTATGTATAAGACACAACAAATACTTATAAAGAATTTTATGCTACTACAACTGTTAAAATTGATGGAATTAATAATATCATTTAATTCATAGAAAACAAGATATTTTTGAATGATAATTTTTTGTGACCTCTTATTTTTTTTTAAATGCGGACGCGAGGTTATATGTGGCATGAAAACAAAAGTATATCTGTATGTCGCAGCCAATTACCTTAATTATTAGCCATTCAATTAACAGCCTAGTCTTTTTAAAAAACGCCGCCATTCAACTAACAGCCTGAATCATCATAACTTATTACCTCTCATTCCGAAGTCCTATTTAAAAACTCCAATACGGCCCCATCAAACGCGACAAAAGCCACATAGAAACCAATAAAGATGTGTTGGTTTCTATGTGGCTTTTGTCGCTTTTGATGGGATCCTATTGGAGTTTTTCAATAGGGGAAGCCCCTAATGTGACAGAACTAAGATCTCGTCAGTATTATTGCAATCAGATGTAAAGTGCAGAAATACATGTATGCAGAATAAATAATATAATTTCAACTGCAATGTATGTATTCCATTTCTTATTTTTTTTTAATTTGGATAAATGCATAAAATAGTAATTTTTAATTATTCATGTCTTGGAAAATAAAAAACATTTTCGATAACGCGAAGATTTTCTTTTTTTTATCCTACGAATTTTGTCGCCTTGGGCACAAGCCCCTAGTGTAAATCTACCGCTGTTAATTTGCACGCGGTTCCCGAGTGGGATGTAAGATAATAAAATAATACAGTCTTATCTAAATCGAAAATATAAATTAGATCAACGAATTTCATTACAATCGTTTATGTATTTGAAAAATTACAGGGTACCTTTTTGAAATTGCATATAAAATATGAAGTACAAAGTAGAGAAATGTTTTATTAAAATCGGCCACATCGACTACCGTGTAAATACAACCGATCATTGATTCGGCATTATACTAATATAACAATAGGCTTTTAAATTGTATTAGACTGTATAATGTACTAAAGTTAATCTAGACGAAGAGAAACCACCAACATAATTTTATAATTTTACACGATAATAACAATATTACACGATATGCGTAAAACATTAAAATATACGTATTATTTTCATTTTTGTTTCAAACTAAGGACTACCTTTAGTTACTAGTTTTTTTAATCTGTGCTACCTTTTATTAGTGCTGCCAGCAATCTAAGACGAGGAAAAATATATAAAATGTCCTTCATGGTCTAAGGCGGGAAATTTAAAAAATATTCAAATCAAATCAAATCAAAATATTTTATTCAGCATTAAATTATTAATTTATTTTACTGAACGTTATAAGTCTACTACCAGTTCGGAAAGAAGAAGCCTCAGACCAGAGAAGAACTGACGAAAGAAACTCAGCGGGACTAATATTATTTCATTATCTTTTTTTTTTATAAAGTTAAATTAAAATTTAGCCTGGAGGCGATTATTTCATTCCCAAGGTGTGCCATCTTCTATAAAATCATTTTCATTCATTGCATAATAGCCTTTAGCACACAAACGTTCTTTAACAATTTTTTTGAATTTGGCGATAGAAGCCTTTTGAACATTTTTTGGGATCCTGTTGTACAAGCGTATACATTGTTTATAAAAAGAATTACTGACTCTGTGTAGACGAGTCACAGGCATTACAAGTTTGTGTTTGCTCCTAGTATTAATGTTATGCATGTCCCACTTCTTGGGAAATTCGTGTATATTTTTACGGACATACATAACATTTTCGTACACGTACTGAGAAGCAACAGTCAATTCAAAATCTCATTCAAATTTCAAAAAACAAAAATTCAAATTCTAATACCTTTAAACGAGCAATTCTTGTATATTTATTTATTTATATACACCGGCGATCTCGGAAACGGCTCTAACGATTTCATTACGATCGCATTATCCACGCAAAATATGGTGGCTAATTTCGCACGCTCGGGCATAAGTGTCGTGGTCAAGCGGCCAAGAAGCAAAAATGACAATCACAGATGTCCGGATTCGAATCCCGGTCGGATACAAATATTTTACTTTAGTTTTTTTTTATTTATTCAAGTTTTTTTTATATATTTTTTGTCTAAAAAATACGATATAAGAAAAAAGTACTCCGAGCGAAGCTCGGTTGCCCAGGTATTAGTATATAAAGTATATCATAATAGTATAGGTCATCAATATAATGTTGGTTTATTTATTATAAGCTTTTTATAATTTCAATATAAATTAATTATTAATTTACAGTAGTTATAGTAGGAGATACAAAATAATATATAATCTGTCATTACATGTTTCTGTAAACTCAACAAACATCGAACACAAGTATTTTTCATATTGCCAATATTAGTTCCAACTTCCAATGATTGTCCAATTACATAGAAATACCCCCTGCCTCCTACCACTTATAATATCTAGGCACCCTTCACCCCAAGGTGCATCGAATGTTCTAGAATCTAGATGCACATGCGCAATGCATTTAGGCAAGTATTGATTAGCATCCCGGCTGGGCTTAAAATAGCTTACCGGTAACATAGATTAAATAAATATTATAGATATGAAACGATACTTTATGTATTAATTAATATTCAATTTAAATTAGCTCTATTTGACAAAAGTCTTTAAGTCATATGTTTAAATAGTAAGTATCCTACAAATTCAAAGCTTTCGCTTTTGAATTTAATAACATGTTAGAGTATTTTAATGTTTAAAATATATTTTATTGCATACGTTGTGACTAACTATTACAAAAAATCCCACATATGTATTTAAATGTGAGAGTTCATCAGGTTTCGTTTGGTGACCTTCCGGAGTGATCAGACCAGTTGTCTAAAGAAGCGTCTAGACAGGGCAGTCGTCGGGGAAACCCCGGAAGGAGTACATTACCGACTGTCATTCTTACTTGTTTATTAAAGTTGGAAAACGGCTTTAGGGTGGCGCATATTACTGTGAAATGCCACGAGATGGCATTACATTCTTTAGCTTCAAAGCCACGAAAATTGTTATTTTTTTATCAAGTCTTTCATCGACTTTTACTTTAAAATCAATGGGCGATTCCTATTGTACAAGTTTTTATGCTATAGTATTATTCTATCGCATTATTTCCAAAGTTACATAAGTTATTCCAAATTTAAATTTTGGCAATTAGCATCCTAGCAAATGCTTGAAATAGCTTACAGAGTTTGAATCGAACAGAGAATAGTGGATAGAATTGTGAAAAGATGAATTGAGTTAGTTGAAGTTAGGAATACGCACCGACCGAGTTAAAGACAGATAAATATTTTTGATAACATTATAGTTTTTTGTTAATTATATTAATTAAAAACTATATATAGTTAATACCTGCAGATTTTACATATACAAAGCCATTTTAATAATAAATATTTAAAAAATCTTAAATAAATCAAAAATCTTGTTCTTTGTCCAACATGGCAACATCAGCTCAGTAATCAAATCCTCGCGCCCACTTCCCATTTTCCCGGTCTCCTGATGTTATTGATTGACGTTTGAATGCGCGTTATCCTCATTTTATGTGTGCGGCGCAGTTTTAAATTTTAATATTCTGTAATGGACCCTGATCCGGGTTTGCTCATTCCACTTTGAATCTTCTACTGAAAAGGTCGCGTCGTTTGTTGATAAATAACGTTGTTTTTCTGTAATTATGGCCTTCTTTATTAAAATGAGATTTTGCTTATTGGCATTAGTTCTTTTCCAATTTTATATTTCGTGTCAAAATCCAAACGATCTAGAATCAAAAATAAAATTACCAACTGTCACAATAGCGGTTTTAGTGCGGAACAAAGCGTATATATTGCCGTACTTCCTCTCTGCATTGGATCGACTGGACTATCCCAAAAATAGGTTATATTTGTGGTAAGTAGTTTAATATAAATTATTGTAATTAACTACCTATAATATCATATGTGTATCCGTGTATTACGTGTATCCTAAGGATACCTGTACTTCTGATTTAACATTGCGATTATTTCTAATTTAAATGCAGAGCTGCACATAAAAAAAGTTTGCAAGTGAAAGTTTTAAACAACAAAAACGTAGAATAATAGCGAATTTTATGCTTCTATCAAATACTATTTCTTGCTCTGGCGCGACCATTATTTTGATTAAAATTAAATTAATATAGTCATGAAATTATTCATGTGATATTTTTTTGCTTCAATTGAGAGTGAATTAATTCTTATAAATTACCTAATCATTTAAAAAAAATAATGTTTATTGTATAATAGTTAATATATAATAGATAGTATCCTTTATTCAATTTTGTTACTTAGTACGTAAAAGATGAAAACCATCTTAGCGACGAAAAGTATTGATCTATGGTTTGGTTTGGAAATTGCAAGTGATCTATAATTACTTAGCCAAATCTTGGTCGGTAGTTTCAAATCAATGTTCAATGGGGAGCCTTTGACCATGAGCAGCGGCAGAGTTATTTATAGGCTGCTTCTCCATGTTAAACTACTAACTCTAATCTTTAAATTATTAACTTTATAATTTTTATTTATAAATGTAATATTTTGAATATTTGTAAGGAATATTTTTTTGCAAATATTTAAATTTATTTCTTTAACTTTTTCTATATATATTCCTTCATGGAACTCCACCTCCCTCCCAGCACCCACACCTTTGGCCAATCCAGATCAAACATTACAAAGGTTAAATGCAACAAGTTGGACATGTTATTTATGAAGATTGGTGATTATTGGCCAAACAGCAAATATATTTAATACTTGCTTGGTACTTATTGTACGAAACTGCCATTCTATACTAATGTTTGGTCCAATTGTGGGCTTTCGGTTTGCCAATATCATATTATGTTGGTCAACATGTATTACAGTTTGGCCAATATCAAATATTGGTCCAATGTCTCGTCCAACAAAAGCTGGGCCTGTGACGTGTGACTTTGGCACCAAAGGCCAACACCCAAGCTTTATTGTGAGACCAATAATGCTATGATATATTCATAATAAAAATAGAAGAAATAAAATAATAAAGTATTGACTGAATCCAATATGGCTAAAACTAAATAGTTAATATGAAAGACAATCTCTTGTTTTGACAACAATGTAATACAGACTCAAAAGACTTGATAAAGCAGTTATTAATGCAATGAAAAGTTTGAGTTTAACTTGGTAATATTTACCAATATTTAGACCAATATTAGAAACATACTTGCAATAGCATAAAGTATTCAGCGAATGAATATTTAAGAATAAAATATTGTTTAATTAAAAATATCCAACAATTACAATATAATTTTTATTCATCATCCTATTTTTGGCGTTTAATGGTAAAGCCTTTGAGTTGTATGTGGAATAAAGATTAGTATAAGTTCTCTCATTTCGATTAGCTACGGTGCCCTAGTGTGGTGGCGTAGAACTCTTCTAACCACAGCACAATGCAAGTTACAAAGCTGGCAGAGACTGGTGTGCATGGCAGTAACGGGCTGCATGAGAACAACACCCACTGCAGCCCTGGAAGCCATACTAAGCCTTCTGCCGCTGCACTTGTTTATCCAACAAGAGGCTGCGACTACCGCAACAAGATTAGATAACCAGAAGTTGCTACGAAAAACAGGCACGCCACATACAAAAATTTTGATAGACGTAGCCAAAGACATCCCGCTCATGGTTGCACCGAATGACGGGATCCAAATCAAATACATTTTTGACAAAAAATACAAAATAGAGCTAGAGGTAGACAAAAACGAAGGTCGCGACAGCAAGGACCTTAGAATATACACTGATGGCTCAAAAACCAAATCAGGGACAGGTTGCGGGATCTTCTCTGATGATCTAAACATTCAAACTTCAATACCCCTAGGTACCTATAACACCGTGTTCCAAGCCGAATGTCTAGGTATCCTTGAGGCAGCTAGAACAATTGCGAATAAAGACGTCAAAAACTTCTCTATCCGCATACTATCAGACAGCATGTCAGTACTACAGGCATTAAATAGTAATTCTACCACTTCAGGTATAATCTATGAATGTCATAACGCTTTGACACAGGTAAGTGACCAAAACAAGGTCTCAGTACAATGGGTCAAAGGCCACAGCAACTCGTGGGGTAACGATAGGGCCGACGAGCTAGCAAGAAGAGGATCGGACCTGAATGCAATAGGTCCTGAGCCCATCGTGGCGCTACCTTCTTGCTGGCTCAAAGGTCAAATACGACAACGCACAAGACGACTACACGAAAATATATGGCGTGAAGTCGCAGACTGCAGGCAAGCAAATGAATCGCTTCCTTTCATTAACACTAAAACGACTAACCGTCTGATTAATCTCAACAGATCTCAACTCAGACAGATAACCGCGGCTCTAACAGGCCACGGACCCTATAACAAACACCTATTTAATTTAGGTATAACTGACAGCCCACTCTGCAGAGCCTGCATGAGGGCAGATGAAACGGCTGCACATGTGATTTTACATTGTCCAGGTGTAGCGGCGTACCGGGCTCAACATCTTGGCACCCCTAGTACACTCCCGGAGGTCTTCGGTAGGACGAAGAGACTACTGAAGTTCCTGGAGGAACTGGGCTGGCAAGAATAAACATTTGGAAAATTTCCCACACACGCAAAATAGGCGCGCAGACGTCGAGTTGCGGAAACTGGCCCGTCTTATACCATACCATACCATACCAAGTTCTCTCAGTATTGAGATTTGAAATAAATGAATTTAAAATACTTGCATTTTTTATTATATAGCTATAATATTGTAAAAAATATTAAACGTTTAGTCTTTTGTGGGTCAAGATTAGATAAAAGTTCATTAGCTGTATATTATGTCAATGTAGTTATAACTCGCGTCATCTAAAAAGAACGCTGGCTGTCAAGCTGCGCAGCAGAAGCGATTTATCGGTCAAATTGGTGGTAAGAAGCGGGGCGCGGGGCGGCTCGGGGCGGCGGGCGCGGGGCGGCGGGGCACGCGCCGCATGCTTGCCGGCGCGCTATTGGTTCGTCAGTTCGAAATACCATCGCGCACACAAAAGTTTTTAATTACGAAATGGTTTTATATATAGAAAAGGGAAAAAATATTTTAAACATATATTGTTTTACAAAGAGACAGTCTGATAATAATGCAGTTAATAATTTAAAAAAAATGTATTAAACGTATTAATTTAATTTTTTGTAAGTAGATTAACATTCTACACTGAATCCAACATATTTTAATAATAAACAGAATTCTATTTAATGATATTCTATCTAATATATTTTTCAATGTCCCTACCAATAACTAATATATGAAGCCGCGAGCGAAATGCTATGAAAAATAAAATAATAGGCTTAGTACTTTTGTGCGCGAGTATACCCATGCGCAAACATACCCCCTCCACTTTCTTCCACCGTTCTTTTTAGATGACGCGAGTTATAGTAACACATACATACTTTTATATTCTTACAAATTTTAATTAAAAAAAAACCTGTTTTCCTATGGACTTTAATTTATATTTTACGTATAGATTTCTCAGAGATGAGATATTTTCCCACAGTAAAAAGTATCTTAAATGTTCATTCAGATAACCAGCTGTCATCATACCAAATTTCATCAAAATATGATCAGTGGTTGTCTTGTTATGCATTTCATAAACTATAGATTCGTCCTCTATATCGATAATAATGACAATTTCAATTAGTATTTCCAAAAATATTGAATGTACAGATTCGACTCAGTTAGAATTTTATTATATGTATAATTTTATTATATATATTACAATGTGATTTAGAAATTTTCGTTTTGTTTAAAGGATATACAGTGACTACAACTCAGACCAATCTATAGAGGTTCTAAGAGAATGGAAAACATTCCGTGAGGCGGAATATCATGGGTTTTATTTGAAAGCAGACGAATTAACGCCTACACTTCATCCGGACGAGAAGAATGTGAGCAGCTGGACACCCAAGCGACATAGGCATATAATAAGACTGCGGGAAAAGGCGCTTAATTTTGCTCGAAGAAAATGGTCGGACTACTTGTTTGTGAGTATTAAGCAGTGGCCATCCATACAGTCAAATTTAATGTGCAGTATTTTTATAATTTTTCTATTACATATTTTAAAAATTTAAATAAAACTATCTTTTTGGATTATTTCGCGGATTTATTTTGATTTTTGGTTACCGACGTATCGAATGCTTTACAGCCATCATGGTCACGGGAGAGGCTAAGGTTTTAGACTACCTTCAAATCTAAAATATTCGTGTAAATCTAAGAAATTATTTTTTTAATATTACTAATCGTTGAATTATTTTTGTAGATGTTGGACGCTGATGTTATTTTGACGAATCCGGATACTTTGAAGTCGTTAATCTGGCAGAGTGACAGTATGGTCACTGGTCCGATGCTAGAATCTGACAGCCTCTATTCAAACTTTTGGTATATATAAATTCTATATATTAATAATCGGGTAATTTTTCTTTCTATGTTTTTTTTAATATCTCCTCTTCCAGGCATGATATGTCCAAAGACTACACGTACAAACGGACATCCGACTACCAGTATATAGTTACACGCGATGAGGAATATTTGGGTTGCCATGAAGTGCCAATGCTGCATTCAGCTGTGCTGGTGTCGTTGAAACACAAAGAGTCTGATTATTTGACCTATGACCCATCTAAAGTGGAAAACTATGACGGTCCCCTAGACGATACCGTCGCCTTCTGCATAAACACCATAAAAATTGGTAGACTAAAATATCTATGGTTTAATTTTAATGATTTTGCGTTTATATTTCATATTTTAGCTTATTGGCTCATTATATTACTTTTGGGTTAATAATAAAAAATGTCACTTTGAGGGAATACATACAATACTGAGTCATGCAAGAAAACTTATCAAACTTAATTTAGTTCTTCATTCATTCAATTTCTTTCAGACTCACTCATCAGTTCACTCACATTCGCTTTTTACTAATTATTATTATTTAGATAATTTACTAATACTTCATATTAATGTATAACAAAATTTTTTAGGTTCAAAACTGAAATTGTGTAACGAAAAACCATATGGATATATACCTATGCCTTCAATAAACTACTCGACCCGCGAGAAAGACATACAGAAATTGGTTAACATCAAACTGGAGGCGTTGAGCAAAGGGATTGTATTCCCACTAGATCCACTCGTTTCCAAATATGTTACCTATCCGGAACCCTCGAAACTGACCATGTCAAAAATTTTCATGATTAACTTGGCAAGACGTAGCGAGAGACGTCATCTCATGATGGAAAGCTTCAAGGAATTGGGCATGGATGTTGAAATATATGAAGCTGTGGATGGAAAGTAAGTAGCTATTTGTATGACCTCAAAAAAATATATTATATCTATAAAGATAAATAAAATTGAAGTGTCTGTTTGTAATGTCGAAAATCTGTTTCTTATAATTCAGAACAGCTAAGTATGTAATACTGCTCTGTTTTTTTTTGTTTGTTTTTTCCCTGTGAGATGTTTTAAAAAAAAAGAATGGTATTCCTACAGTATAATATATTACTTATTAGTAAAAATTTAAATAATTATGTAAAAAATAGTGATAGGCACACAATAAACATTAGGAATAGAAATAAGCTTGTTACGTCTAAGATTTTGATCCAAAAAAAGGTGAATGAATCCTTCATTGGCATTATTATATTGATTGTGAAATTAATATACTTGTTCTTCATTGGATTTGTTATTTTTTTGTTCTATTTAAGTATGTTTTTTTTTTCAGGAAGCTGACCAAAGATGATATTGATAAGTTGGGAATCCATATGATGCCAGAATATTCGGACCCCTTCCATGCTCGGTAAATAAAACAAAAATTCTTTTGGCAACACTGAGATATGACAGATATACAATAAAAAAATTTAAAATGGATTATAAAAAAATATTTATACAAATATTTAATTCATTATTTTTTGAAATGTAATAATTTTTTTTTTAGGCCAATGAAAGCCGGTGAGGTTGGATGTTTCCTGAGTCATTATAATATTTGGAAGAAGGTATACACATTTTGTTTGTTTTTATCTCTTATTCTATACCACAGGAACCTTACATTTTCGGTATAAAAAATAGCCTATGTGCTATTCCAGATTATCTCTGTGTCAAATTTCTATCAGTGTACCAAATTTCACGAAGATCCGTCTAGCCGTTCTGGCCTGATTGAGTAACAAACATCCAAACTTTTGCATTTATAATATTTATGGGATTTATTATATTATATTAACTAAATCATATTTGTTTTTAGATTGTCGAAAATAAATATAACTTAACAATGATCATGGAAGACGATGTTCACTTTGCGCCGTATTTTAAAGAGAAATTGGCTCGTGTTTTAAAGGAGGCTAAAGGATACAAATATGATTTGTTGTAAGTATAATTAAAAAAAATATATATTTTATTCAGTATTAAAAATATTACAATTTTTTACTGAACGTCAAGAATCTAATACCAGTTCGGAAAGAAGAAGCCTCAGACCTGAGAAGAACTGGCGAAAGAAACTCAGCGGGACTAATATTAACTCGGTTATCTTTTTTTTTAATATTTATTGACATAACTTTTTTATTTATGAACCGATTGAAATAAAATAAATACTACTACAAGCTTACCACAGTACATTAGTAAAAACCGCACTCAAATCGGTTAAGCCGTTTCTGAGATTAGCGCTCAATATTAAAATCAATTGCCATTTCGTTAGTCTTGCTAATTTCAATAATGGTTCGACCAACTTGAATAATTCAAAGTTAAAAAAATAATATTTTTTTTTAATTGTTGTTTGTTTTGGTGGGGGTGTGTCATGGGTGGTTTAAGTATAAATAAAATAGGGGAAAACATAAAAAAATATATATGAAAAATCGAAAAGTTCAGAACTATTTATTTTGTACCTATGTAATATATGTAACTATATATAATAATATGTAGTCTATTTCATATTAACTGTTAAAATATACCTAGGGATGAAAACGAGCAAAACGAGGGTGAGTTGCAAGTAAATCATAATTATAACTTGAGACATTAAAAGCGTCAAAAAGATAAAAGCACAAAAAAGACGTGTGGCACTCGGAGACTGCCGCGGTAAAGCTATTGCATAGCATTTTTTATCAACTTATGCAATTATAATTATTTATTTATTTATTTTATTAATGCAGTATTTTTTTTCTTTGACTTTCTTCATTAATAATTGCACTTTGTTTATTCATATTTAAAACACTTTGTACACAAATTATACGAGTACAGATATTCACTGTTGTACATAGATGATAAATACCTATACACCTGTATACTTTCTCACAAACAGCTGATTACAGTAGTTTTCCAATACAACCAATGCCACTTAAAGGCGGGTTGCTGAACTAAAGAGACAAGCGTGATATTTAAAAAAGTCATTAAAAGTTCTGGTATTTATCGATAGATGGAAGTATCACCGCTGTGCCGGTCGGAGTGGGGGGTGTCAGGTTTTTTTCGTTACGGAATTTCTGGATTCGGTCCCCACGCTCAAGGCCCGCGATAGAAGCTATGCAATAGCTTAAAAAAAATTAAAAATTACAATACTGTTCCAAGCTGTTCATTATTAGCCATTAGGATAAAACTTGACTTTTTGCTTTTCAGATATTTAGGAAGGAAAATTATGTTAGAAAATGGTGAAACAAGAATAACAAGTCACACTGTTCGTCCGTTGTATACATACTGGACACTCGGCTACATTCTAACTTACCGGGGTGCTAAGAAACTGTTAGAAGCTAATCCATTGAAGAATCTCCTTCCAGTCGATGAATTCTTGCCTATAATGTTTGATACACATCCAAAGTACGTAACAGTTAAAAAGATTGTGAGTGGGAATGGCGGTAAACCTATAGTTGTATTCAGAATTTGTCTATATGTTATAGTTCTATACCTCATCGTCACGGTGGTCCTTTTAATAAAAAAAATACTGTAAACATATATATACTTATATATAGATGTAATTTTTTTTTTTAATCTATTCTTAGTTTGATTTCTCTAATCTAATCTCATTTATTTTTCGTGCTATTTTCTTTTACTATAATTTATTTGCAATACTTTTTCAGTGCTATATGGATAAAGAAATTTCCCAAACGCCAACTTCGAGCGCTATCCGCCTATCCCCTTTTAATGAATCCCACCCATTACACGGGTATGGACGGATATATAAGTGATACAGAAGATTCAATAATTATGAAGAACGCTAAAAAAAAACACAACGAGTTGTAAATTACCCCTAAAATTATTGGGGTAAATTTGAATTATTGGGGGTAAAATGGAATTATTGGGGGGTAAAATTGAATTATTGGGGATAAAATTGAATTAATCGGCGTTTTGCCTTTTTTTTTCTATAATGATTTTTTTCAAGGGCTTATGTTACCCCTTTGTGTATTGATGTTTTAATTGTTATATATTATAGGGTTAATATATGAGTTATTAATTATAATATCAACGCGCGCTACCCCTACAATGTCTTCATATTTAAGTAAAGTAATTATTAAGTGATTAATTCACAATAAGATATATATTAGCCATATTTGAACGTTACATACGTGTAATATGACGTTTTAAATAATTAAATGTCATAAGTTTTAGCATAAGGGTTGAATGTAGGAGACTTAGAGGTTAAGGCTTAATTAATTTTACGTTTCTACATTTAAATAGATCAACATTGTAGTTCTGTATCAAAATATATTGAAAATAGAATGAGTTATATTTTATATGTGCAATGCCAGTGGATTTGAACAACAAGCCCTGGCTTTTAATTTTTTGTGCCATTATCCAAAGTCCATGTTTAAACTTGTGTTTAATGTCTATTATTCTTTGGTAGTACTATTATACCCACAGGGTAATTGGTGTCTATACTATTGATCTAAGTAATTTCGGTTTATTTTATATATTTATCGTATATTTTATTAAAATAATATTCTTGCATAAGGGTAATTAATAAATAATTGATGACTTATTGATAATAAATATATAATCATGTTAGTAGGATTAAATTTGAGGTGTCGTGGTATCTGATTAGATCAAAAGCGACATAACTTGCATAACATAAACACAAAAAAAAACATAAAAAAATAAATAAAAAAAAACAAAAAAAAATTCTTGACCATTAGATGGGAATGATAATATACAATATTTAATACAATATATTCTTATATTATAATATAAACCGAACTAACTGAGTTTAACTCCGTTTTGTTATTCGGTCACTCCCGACTTCAATTCCTTGATTATAATCAGATCTGTTTTAACTTTATTAATAATAACTGTCTATTAATAATTAATTAATCTGTAGTTATATTTTGTTTAAAAGTTATTTTTAGTAATCTAACGACTGATATATTTTTATATTTTTGAAATCTATTTACATCTCTCTAGTGAGTAAGTTAGTCAGTAAGAAGGTACTTAACAGTAAAAACTGGCACGTTTAAATCTGTGCATTTTAGAAGAAAAAAAAGGTTTTATTCTGCAATGAAAAAAAAAGAAAAAAAAGTTGTGAAGCGCAAATTTAAGCGTGCATTTATTAATATTACTTAACTATTACCAAATATTAGCGACTAGCGCCATTTTAACTGTGCCATATTATGTCTTCCTAGGTTAAGTCAATAAAGAACATCAAAAAATGTTGTTTTATTTTACCCCTTTTGTAATTACATATTTTTATTGATTTTTCATTTAATTTATCACTTCAACAGATATTGCATTGTACTTATATTGTCTGATTGATTACTTTAGAGTCTTTCTTTTCCAGTCCAAATAGTGGAATTTTAATCACTACACATGTATGATATTAAATACATATTATGAATATAAACACCTATGAGTGGAGTATAAACATTCGTGCTCATCACACAAATGTATGCCTCCAGCGGGAATCGAACCCGCCCCGCTGGTAAAGCAAGCAGGATAACTACAAACGGCCAAATGACTAGTCATAAAAATTATATTATAATATATTTTATATACATACAAGAATATCTTACAGCTGTATAACCCATGTAAAATGGGGAAAATTATACATACGAATTGAGTGTAAGACTTATGTGTGTGTGCACAAGACCTATGCGTTTTATGTGCTTGTGTTTCAACTAGCATCAAACGGATGAAAAGCTTTTACTTTTTAAGCACACAGACATAACGTAGGTTTATTGGCAGTCTTCAATGATATCGCTAGTACATTTTCGAGCACATTTCTTAAATTTTTCCACAACATTTTGACAATTTAGAGTTTCATAGCCAAATTTTGCATAACACTGTTCAACTTCACATCGCTCTTCCATACAAAATTTGTGCGAATTTCCCACAGAATTTTGAATATTGTTCACCACTTCGCTTATATCACGAGCGCATTCTGTCATATCTTTCAAATGTTTTTTTAATTTCAATACATTGTTATTATTTTCTTCGGAAATATTCATACTCATAATTTTGTTGGATAATATCAATATAATAAACAAATGTTTGTTTTAAAAATGTAGAATCTAGATGGTCGTAAAGTTATACGTAATATGTATCTAATAACAATATTAATCAAGTTTTTAAGTACCAGAAAATGATGCCCTGTTTTTGGTCTTTACACTTTACAGGACAAGATATTCAATAATCTATATAGATAAATAAAATTGAAGTGTCTGTTTGTAATGTTAAGATAACAGCTTTTTACTAAATGCATATGAAATTATATACGTTACTTAAAAGAAAAACACAATTTAAAAAGTTTTTGTCTGTCTGTTTGTTCTGGTTAATCTCCGAAACGGCTGGACTGATTTTGACGAGACTTTCACTGGCAGATAGCTGATGCTATAAGGAGTAACTTAGGCTACTTTTATTTTCGAAAAAGAATTAGGGTTCTGCGCAAAAAAATCAAAATATACCTAGGGAGTGGGACGCACCCGAGTGAAACAGGGTAAGTCACTAGTCTTCAAATAAAATTAATCTATCCTGTAAGCCCAAGGATAAAATTATTCTTAAATCGGTGAACTTTTTTTGTTAAAAAGTTATATATATTACTAGCAGAACCCGCGACTTTGCCCGCGTTCAATCTCCAAAAAAATATCTTGCTTTATGCTGTGTAGCGACTCACGGCTCACCCTCGCTGCGCTTGGATTCGTCCCTACATATTTAGGTAATATTCAATTATTTAGATATTATTCATACAAAAATTATAAAATCGCGATTAAAAATGGGAGGTGTGGGTAGGAGAGTGAAAAATACTTTACGACTTATTCTCATACCTAACAAATATACAAAAAAAATATCATTAAAATCGGTCGAGCCGTTTCGGAGGAGTGCCACCACAAACACAGTGACACGAGATATTTATACATATATCAGATAATAAACAATCTCAATGTTAATATTAAATATGCCATAATATAATTACTAACTGCATTATAAAGACAATCATATGAAACCTCGAATCTTTTTCGTAACAATAAATAAAAATGTTAACTTAGTTTCTATGACATCTACGAGTAAAACATGCCCACAATATTCTGTGAACGATTTTAATGCTATTACCACGGTAATGTAATGCATATTACCGTGTACCTGTATGTAATATTACCGTGCTATTTATTACCTACTATTATTTTATTTTCAACCGACTTCAAAAAGGAGGAGGTTCTCAATTCGACTGTATGTTTTTTTTTATGTTTGTTACCTCAGAACTCCGTCATTTATTAACCGATTTGGACAATTTTTGTGTTGTTTGAAAGGGTATACTTCCAGATTGGTCCAATTTAAATTTCAGAAAAAAATACCACCCCTAAGGGTGGAAAAATAGCTAATGATGAATTTAACCTACTTCTAATTGTCATATTAACTTTAAATTTGCAAGTGTTTCTATTTCCGTTGATAGTACAGTGGTTCGGTATTATTGACCTGATCTGATGGTAAGGTCAGAAGGTGGATAGGTGGAACTCTTCAACGGCTAATAGTAGATAGTTTGAGTTTGGGCTTATTTTGTTTGATTTAACAAGCCTAACACGTTAGAATTCTTACTTCGCTACTACTGTGTACACTAAAAAGGGAAAAATAAAAACTTTTTAACAAAAAAATAAAAACCGACTTCAAACAAAAGCACTAAAAAGTAAAAAATAACTGATTGGTAGTTTTCATTTACTATACATACCTAATCAAATATTTTCGAAGTCGGTGTGCTTTGGCTAAGTAATTAAAGCCTACCTATTAAATACATACCTAATCAAATATTATCGAAATCGGTGCCAGCCCATACAAAGCAAAGCACACCGACTTCGAAAATATTTGATTAGGTATTTATAGTAAATGAAAACTACCAATCAGTTATTTTTTACTTTTTAGTGCTTTTGTTTGAAGTTGGTTTTTATTTTTTTGTTAAAAAGTTTTTTGACTGATTTCGAAATTAGGAGGCATCAAATTCGGTTGCACGTTTTTTAATGTATGTTATTTAAATACTTAGGTATGTATGTTTTTTTAGTGAAAAGAATGGTTAAGGGTGGAGTCTAATTAAAAAAATCTACTTTTAATAGAGATTTTTGTGTTAAAAAGTAATTATTTATTTAACTGTAGGTAATTAATAATTATGTGTGTGAGCAGTGATAACGCGCTCGCTTGGGAAACCGAGTGTAGCGGGTTCAAATCCCGGATCTCGCACCTCTGATATTTTCACGTGTGAATCATTTTCTAACTTGATTACCACTTGCCTTACGGTGAAGGAAAACATCGTGAGGAAACCTGCATGTCTGAGAAAACGCTAGCGCCCGTATCGCGCCAGATCCCCCTTGTAGTGAAGGGGAGGTTAAAAAGGGCTGAATACAATGATTTAATCAAATCAAGTACTTTGAACAAGTTTTAAGTATTAGCTCAGTCGATTGAAATAAACTTGTTGTCAATAGTTCAAGTATAAAGAAAGAAAAAACAAGCTAAATTTTAGTACATAATTTTGATTCTTTAAATTTTATGTTTAATAGTGAATATGTATAGTTGGATCAAATAAAATAAATAAAACATTATCGTTAGCAAATTTATTATACGACAAATATATGTATCAATCGTTTCGAAAATGTGTTTCTTACAATAAAAGAGAGCTACGAAATCATAACGGTATCACAACTTAGAATTTGCTAGTAACTGGTGAATCATTTCGATGACAGTCCTTGTGGGTCTGCCGGTCATGCCTTTATGGAGGTAGGGGAAGTCTAAGCCTTTAGTGTAAGCAACGTTGTATGTGTCGAAGTGTAGCCATCTGCTGTCGCATACAAACTGCTTAAGAAACGCAGCGCAATTGGGGGAATCCCCGAATTCATCCTGTCCTGTATTTGCTATATCAGCGCACTCACAATTCTTTATACGATCCTCGTAAAACTTCCATAACGGCATCCGCCAAATTCTATCTCCAGTTTGAGAACTCGCTGCTTCTGCATAGTTAAATAATTCTTCAGAGTTAGTATAACAAGCGCATGCAGCGCCCCCTAACGTGTAAATGAGTTCTTTCGACATAGTTCCTATATCAAGAATAAATTGAGGCCAATAATTCCTTGCGTACACTAAACTGTCGGCTATCAGCAGGCGACCTTCACGTGAAGGTAATCTAATGTGTATAGTTTTGCCATTAGCACTTGACACCACATCTCCAAATTTTGGACTCCTTCCGCCTGGCATAAGTTCACATAAAGGAAGAATACCTCGAATATTTACAGGCAGTTTAAGTATCGCCGCTGCGCGAGTGATAGCTAAAACACACGCTGCCCCAGCCATATCGCCTTTCATATATTTTAAATCCTTCTTTGGTTTGGGATCAAGGCTCCCACTGTTAAATGTAACACCCTTTCCAATTAATACAATAGGTCTCGTACATTCATCAGCACCGAAATAACTTATCTCTACGTATAATGGGGGTTGCATCGATGATTTTCCTATGGCAATAAATCCCCCCATTTCATGGCTGGCTGCCCAGCCTTGAGTTTTGATTTCCACGTTAATGTCTAATTCACATAAAAGATCTACTGCTATTTTAGCAAATGCTATCGGATTTAGAATGTTAGGAGGCATCTCTTGTAGGTAACGTGCTAAATTTTGAGATTCAGCTTTTAGAGCGCCAATTTTCCATCCATCAAAATCACAATCATCAAACAATTGAAGTTTTGCTTTTGGTACTATTTGTGTACTTGAGGTATGTCTATATTTTTGAAATTTCCAGGTAGATAGTGTTGCACCTTCCGCTGCGGCTTCAGCATTTCCAAATGATTCCACATGTATGACAGAAGGTTGGAACTTTTGCAAAGCATGAGCGCCTAGACCGGCCGCTACTCGTATGGCCTCCTTACTTTCATCCAATTGTTCATTCGTATCAAACCTCAAACATTCCGTACCGAGGCCAGCAACAGCTACAAAACCATACGTGCTATCCAAATCATAGAATATTCTGTATTCTCCTAGTTTCGGTATCGGCGTCAATTTTAACTGTTTCCAAAGTTTTCCATCACATTGCTTATCATATTTTTGAGCACTCGCAGTTAGAATTGCTCCTTCCTCTTTCACATTTTCATTAAAATACACACCAAGTACCAAACCCTTATCACGGAGGGCGCAAAGTTTCGGATCGAATACTCTTCGCTGGGGCTCGTAGGGAACACATTCGGTTACTGGTATTTTGAACTGTGATATAAACCTAACACATCTTTTGCAGTGTTTGTATTGAAACATATTTAACTTTTTATGTAACACTTTAAATTTAGTAAAAAACAAATTTTCGAAATGTATTTCAAACGTCTTTGCTATCGTTGCCCAATAGATTTTACACAATATCTTTATAATGAATCATAAAACATATAAAAACTTTGCAATGTTATTTTATTAATTGAAATAAATCACAATTTCGCACAACACACAGTTCACAACAACCAAATAATCGCACAATGTCTTTGGGAATAGTCAAGAAGTTTTCTTCTTTAGCCAGTGGGGCGTGTGGCGGTTTATAAATTCAGGAATATTTTGTAAAATAGTCTCCTGTAATTGACGATAGATAATGAGGATTAAAAAAGGAATAGCTAATCTCTCATCTTTAAAAAAGTACACCCAGAAAGCCAATAAAAGTAGGCATAGATCTACTGTATAATCAATTGCCGATCTGACATTCTCTTTGGCTCTCTGTTCTAGTTTTTTGTAATCTATCGGGATGACAACTGTTGCTCGTTCAGTAGTTTTGAGAACCACTTGAGTGTCTAGTGAACTTTTATCTGGTTTTTGAACTTTTCTCTGTATATTTACAGGAGCTTTCTCCTTAATTTCATTAAGTACTTTGTGTTGGTCCGCTTTTTGCGATTTCACCTTTTGTTTTGCGACAGGTTTGCTCTTTGCTTTTACAGAATTCATTTTATTCTCCGAAACCTTTTTAACAACATTTTTCTTTGTTTCTATAACTTTATTCTCTTTAGTGTCGTCATCTTTTTGTTGCTCTGCTACTTGTTTTAATTCTTCTGTATTTAGATAAAGAGGAGTGTTAGATTTTTTGTGACTTCCATACTCTTTGACAATATTACCATAATAATCTATAACAGTCTTGCCCTCGTCACTAAATTTTTCTTCTACAGTTGGTTCATCCTTCTTCATAGATTTTTCCTCTTTAGCGTTTAGCACATCTTCCAATTTCTCATTTTCTTTTTTGTTAAGCATTTTCGGAAAACTAAAAGGCTTTTGTTTTGTTATTTTTTTAAATAAGTTTATTTTTTCTTCTTTTTTCTGTTTAATTGGAACATATTTTTCTTGTTTTGTAATCTTCGTTTCCATATTTTTGTTAATATCGACTTCCCTCTTTTTTAGAATTGGTTTAGGTACAAAGTTTGGATCTGGGAGAGGCGAAAGCTTTATAGGCTCAATTTCAGTTTCAGATTCTTCCTCTACCTCCATGCTTTCCTTGACAGGAGAAGGTCGTGTAATCTTATTTCTTGGATTGTAAGTTTGTTCTTCGTCCATCAATTGATTTTCTCTCGCCTCATCTTCCGCCAGACTATCTTCTTCTTCATCAGAATACTCACCATCAGTTGATACCGTGCTCGCAGTGTAATCTTCATCAAAGGACATATGTTGCCATTTATCTGACATATCTGAATCTTGTCGTGTTGGAGTGAATTTTATTTCTTTAGACTCCATGGAATCTGATTTGACAAATATTTCTGGTGTTATAAGCTTAGATTGAATGTTGTTAATTTTTGTTGTTGTTTCGTTAGTGTCGTTACGATCGATACTGTTGGTCATGGTCATGCTGTGCGGAATGTGATTGGGTTCTTGTCTGAGAGACTTTTCATTTTTAGTTTTAGACTGTTCTTCTTTTAAGGCGACTGCTTTATAAAACCTAGCCATAGCGCGCTCGTGAAGTAACTCCGTGGAACTAACTGCGTTCCGTAGTGCTTTAAATGGCATAATGCATCGCGAGCTGAGTTCTGGCGCTGACAGTGAGATAGGAGGCGGTGACAAAGCATCTTCTAAATCCAACTGGAACGACTTCCTCTTTTCTGAAAAGTAAAACGTGAAAATGGTTATATTGTTTGGCTTCATCATTAATCGCTATGTTTCATGGATGTTAAACGATGTATCGCATTTTGAACACATATTTTGTGACATATTACCATATAATATACATAATATTTAACATACAACATGTTTTATAACGTACTATTTCGCAATGCGTATTTGCAAATGTTAATTTTGAATGTATTTCAAGACATTCGCTTGCTGGTTGGACATACTAAATTAATTTTATTGTCATTTTTTCCATAGATACATAAATATCTATATTACACATAGCCATAAGATAATAAGCAGCTTATTTGCTTGGTTGTCTATTTTATGAAGACAAAACAGCCGCAACCATTTCGATGAAGTTTTTCATTTTATATTTTGAAACCTGACGAGATTGATAGTTATAGGCTGCTACATCACAATAAAGTTATATATTAAGCAAAAATCTTACAAATTACTTACATGTACAAACTTGCCGTTATACATATCTATGAAATAAAATTTCCTTAAATAAGTAACACATAATAAATAATATATAAAACATAATATAATGTGAGAGAGTATTGAATAAAGAAATAGTAAATATCATATATTTTCTTGGTATTTGTCATGGGAATCGAACCCGCGTCACGAATACTTCAAACAGAGCTGGCCATTGAGTGCAAAAAGTTTTCCATCTTTTCGTAATCAAAGCGATTCAGTCGCCAATCAATATCTATTTTTATCTAATTCATCAATCCATTGGCTGATTGACGCAAATCTACGTATAAAATGTATATACAAACATATCCGTTGCATAATTAAATGAGGCCATAATAAAATTTCCACTTAGTAATATAACAATTAATACAGTTGCCAATATACGACAATCGCATCATAATGTACATATATTGTACAATTTATATAAAAACTAGCAGAACTAGCACCCGCGGCTTCGCTCGCGCTAAACTACAAAAAAAAAACTCAAAAAATTAGGTTTCATACAAACTTTCATCCCATTTTTAAGAAATTTTGAAAATATTTATTTAAGTATTTATTTCATTGTATTGAAGAGCATTTAATACCAAGTTTCAAGTAATTCTGGTCATAAACATTTTTTGGGTTGTATTATAACGTGTTTTCCCATGGGAATGAGATAATCTCCCGTTAAAAAGCCTGCGCCACTCTCTAGCCCTCGAACTATCTCCACACAAAATATCACGCCAATCCTGTTTCGACGTGAAAGAATGATAAACAAACACACTTTCAAATTTATAATACATATTAGTATGGACTAGCAAATTAACCTCACTTCTCTCAAGATGTCTGTCTATCTGTGAACTGAAATTTATCTAAATCAGTCCAGCCGATCAGCGTGAAGTAACAAACATATGCACAAACAAACTAATGCAATGCCTAAAAGTTTATATTAACTTCAGTCTATACTGAAATAAAACTTTATTTTACATTCACTATAGCAAAAGACACAAAGTTTCGTGCCCAGCACACTAAAAAGAGTACTCGAAATTGATAGTGTTTTAAATAAAAATAGATATGATTTATATTTTGCTTGTCGCATGTTAAAGTAACATATTAATTAACTTGAATAAGTGATAATGATGAACGGTTTAAATAAAATTTATTGCTTGGATTGTCCGCAATGCTGTTTCGATTTTGATAAAATTCAAGAAAAACATATTTTTTAATGTTTTTACTGAACTAAATGAGAGTAAATCGCTGTCAGTGCGTCTTATATTATAACTTTATTTAGTAATACTAAAACTACAAATAGCAATTTTACGGTGGTATTTTAGGCGCCAATGTAATAATAGCAGTAGGCCAAATAACTTCAACACATATAGGCAATAAAATGAATCAGCCAGTTATGTAATTTACAAGACAATAGTGTAACAAAGAGGTTTTGTTAAAAAAATATATTCGCAATGCAAACTTTTTAATTATAATTATACTAATGACTTAACCTAGCTACGCTCGGGGTGTCCTTTACATTGAATGGCTTAGGAACCTTCGCAGGCGCAGGCTTGACAATCGGATCAATGGCTTAGGAACGTATAGGGGACAAACATACAAACATCAATTTTTATATATATAGTTAAGATAAGAAGATAGAAGTTGTTACAATATTATAATATTGGTGTAATACGTATCTATAATATAGATTTTGATAATCTTTTCATATTTACATGTATTTAATCAATAAATAAACTAGATGAGTTAAATAATTTAATCAATATTCGCTTTAGTTGACCATGTATAGACCATTTAGTTAAGAGTAATTATCTGACGGCGCATTTCACTGCAGTGTTTTTTTTAATTATTAATATAATTAAATCGAAAGCTTTACTCACCAGTTTTATCGTTAGATTTGTTGCTATCTGGATATAGCACCAACATGAACTCGTTACTCGTGGCTTCATTAGGGACAGAAACTCTTTTATGCTTCCGAAGAGGAACAGGGGAGGCGGCGGGCTCCTGAACAGGGCGGGATGCTGGGGATGCTGCTAATCTCTTACGTCTCGGTGCTGGAGACACCGGTATCTCTCCTTCACGCGTCAATACATCAGTAATGATTCGAGATTCAACAGCCAAAAACTCCATATCGACAGCCCGACCGGGAATTTTAACGGGTGTTGATTCCACACTTGGCGCACTCATCCCGTAAGGACTTTCTGCTTTCACGCGAAACCGGTATTCACTTCCTTCGATCAAATCGAAAAGTGTAACTGTCGTTTTGCGACTCGTAGTCGCCTTCAACCACACATTCCAGCCACTGCGGTAATATTCTATTACATAGTTTCCGATACGACATCCCCCATCATCCTCTGGGGGTTCCCAGTCCAAAGAAACAGACTTGTCAACTTGCCTCGCTACTGACACATTTCGTGGAGGATCTGGAGGGGCTGTGATAGTGACCAGAAACGCTGCTGTATCTTCTCCTATAGCATTTTTTGCATGGACCTGGTACTCCCCGCGGTCACTCCGCCGCGCCGAATTTATTTTTAACATAGAAAACTTTGGTGTATTTGAGATTTGAACCCGATCATCGACAGCTATTGGTAGGCCGTCGTGACGCCATTCAATGACAGGAGTAGGTTTGCCAACAATAGTCGTTTTTAAGAAAACAGTTTCGTTTATTTCGTATAAAAGGCCATCTTCGTATTGTCTCGGGTACCGTAGTTTTGGGGCGGCTTCCAGGGACAGCTTGGCTCTACTCACCGCATGACCGGCGCGGTTGGTCGCTGTGCATTTGATCTCTCCTTCGTCGCTTGCAAGCGTTTGATGAAAAATAAGAATACTAGTGGATTCATTAGTAGATATTGCCGTCCGTCTGCTACTAAATATTTCGTAATCATCTTTAAACCATGCTATCGTAGGAGGAGGTACGCCTGAAAATGATACTCGAAACTCTGTTTTGTCGTTTTCAAGAGCAATTACATCTTCGAGATGTTGGAGGAATAGCGGTGGTTGGTTGACGGGGCTATCGGAGTTGACGGTGAGAACATCGGAGAGTTCACTGTACTCAGAGCGGCCCACAGCATTTAATGCTGCCACTCGGAATTGGTATCGGTGCGGGGGTTCCAAACCTGTGAGGAGTAGTTCAGGTCGGAGCACGACTGGGGGAGCGGTGCGCACCCAGTCCACTGACCCGAGACGGTTGCATTCCACTTGATATCCGCGTAGAGGCGCACCTCCGTCGTGCGCAGGTGGCGCCCATCTCAACGTGATCGCGTTAGGCTCATCATCCGTCAATATAGGAATAATATCCGGCTTGCCAGGCACCGCCGGCCGCCCTGGAATTACAAAATTAAAGATCTATAGTTCAAATATGCGAAATCACCTAATTTGTTGGTAATAATCATATGTGTATGAACATTTAAAAACATCAAACTGACATTACGTTGCTAATAAAAGCCGTGTAATCGTTACACGAACCCAGGGCTTTGTTTTGGTGCGCCACGCTAGCAGCGAGCGGTCTTTTTAAAAATAGCTGTGTAGGCTGGGGCGTCGGCGAGCGTCTGGTGTGAGTGGGGGGGTAACACATTCGTCGCGGGGGGTGATGAGTACGTGTTTGAGGATGCTATAGTCACCTGCTGACTTCCAGTGGACGTTTTTCCTGGCTTTGTGCGAGTGTGCGGAGGATTGGTTGCCCATGGCGGCGGCGGCGCGCGCCACACTGAACTGCGCCCGCGCACCGCCCCGCCGCGACCCCCCACACCCCGTGAGCTGGGAATAACTCAGACACTCGGCCGACGCGCACCGAACTTTTATTGATGGCTTATCAGTATTGATGGACAGGGAATGATTAAATGAAATTAAACAGTAATAACTAGGAGATAATAAAATGATTTTATATTAAATTTGTAATTGAATTGAAATAGTATTATATATTGTAAGCAGGTGAAAACATTTTTGGCAAAGTATATAAAAACGAAGATCGTCGTTGGTAAACAGCGGCATCTCTCGGAGTTGTCGAATACGCGAGAGAAAGGTTTGAATATGAGTGGAAATTAAAACTGCTGTTATTATTACCTTTGATGAATTTCCCAGAGACTTCTGTAGAGGGCGTAGCGAGGCACGGTTCTTGAAACTGTAAGATGAATTTTTTTCAACATCGCTGAAAATAATTTTCGTATTGTCATACGTAACTATCATTAATTTATAGATAGGAGTATGGCGGCCGCCAGATGTCGGATGGGTCGATCTGGAGCATAGACATAGAGTATGGAGCTATTGACTGAGTAATACTCTCATGAATTTGATGATTCTCTCGAAAGAGAGGAAGCGAACGTGCGGCGAACACCTGACATTTATTCTAAGTTGAATTTATAATTGGAATTAAAAAAAAACATTGTAATAGAAATAAATAGTTATAAATATCTATCTTCATCAATCGTATTTTAATGAATAGAGAAGACTTCTGGCAGCACATTCGTTTTGTCTCTGTCGCGCCTTTCCGCCATTATTGGCAAAGAAACACTCAGTCCACTCTCTATGTCTATGGTAGCGGCCAACGCGTGTCGGATGTGTCGATCTGAAGATGGTTTCGCATCATATTTTCATCCTTTTTTTGACGTATATGACACTGCTAAGTTATTTATATCCCATCTCTTGACAATGTGACAGTTTATCATTTTTTATCAAATATTAGCTACCCATCTTAGTCTCTCTATCCATGAAAAAATATATTTCACAGCTTTCATATGAAACTTACTCGAGATAACATAAATACCTATTTTAAATTATAAAAAAGGGGCATAAGAATTATAATGTTAATGTATTAAAAATATTAATATTCGTATCTTTAAGTAATATTTTTAGTTCAACAGCACGGATAACCAGTTATCACCTTTAATCAAAATCTATCCAGTGGTTTTCTCGTGATGCGTTCCCAGACAGACAGGCAAAAATTGTAAAAACTATAAATTCGGCTCTGTATCGATAATAATGACAATTTCAATAAGATTTTCCAAAAAATATTTAATGTACAGATTCGACTCAGAATTTTATCTCGTATAGATTTGAAATAAAACTATCTGTTCGGATTTTTTCGCTGGAGATTCACGAATCATCTTAGGGCGATAGCGAGAAAAATCGAAAAGGAAGTATGAAATTAATAACTATTTTAAGTCAAAGACAGGACTTAGTCCTTACATATACGCCATATATGTTGCTTTCTAACAGGTTCATTACAAGCATATGATGTTCTAGTATAAGAAGATGTATTCCGTGTTAACTGTTGGCACAGATAGTGAATTGGCAATGGTGCATTTAACTACCAATTTTGCCGATGGATATGATAATAATTTAATAAGAAAGTTTGGCATTAATATACGTATCCATGATATATTTTCCTATCCTTCCTTTTATCGTCTTCTTCATGTATTCTTTAGAGCTTATACTTTAAACCTTAAATCCTATAAAGAGCAAGCTTTTGCATATGGTCTTTTCTTAGTAGACGGAGTCTCGTCTTTTGTGAGCTTAACTCTCAAGTAAGATATTTGAAATAACAAAACCGATTAAAATAAATTTGTTCGTATTTTGAAGAAATAAACTTTGCATTTTGAATTCGTCCTTATTTAATAATATGTATAAGTTTCAGATTATTTTTTATTTTTATTTTTTAAAGACCTCCGAACACTTTATTTAACAACTTATGTCTTGTGCACAATCAGTTAAATTAAAAAAATGTTCTCGAAACGTGTCAAAGTTGCCAGATTGACGATATTTATGTTAATTAAATTAGTATATACTATTTATTATATGTATAACGTTGAATATTTTAGCGAATGAATGTTACATTGTACCTACATATGTATTGATGTGCAATTGTAAATAAACCAATATTTTTAAAAAAGATCTACTTATTTTGAGTTCGATATTATTTTTCTATAAGTTCGGGATAGACATAGTAATATATAATTTTATTGAATATTATCGACTAATCTTTGCTTCGCTCGTGCATCCCTAGCAGTTAATTAAATTCGAATTGTATTTTTTAAGAGATTTAGATTTTCGCGTTGGAACTGTAAATATTCCCGGAATAAAACATTTCCAATATTATGTAGCCCTTAATCTCCTCTATCTTTCAGTGAAAGCCCCATTACAATCGGTTCAGCCGTTCTTAAGACTAGCCTGGACAAACAGAAAGATATACAGACAAAATTTAAAAAAGGTCTACTTACGTATAGTTCTTATATAAATAACTCTATGTACTTCAGAAAACATAGTTATTGTGAATTCACAGACATACACTTGTACAGATTTTAACTCAGTTTTGTCTTTTTTACTATAACCAAAATAGAACTCATGAACTATCCCTTCTAGTTAACTCAACTGCTTAACGACTTTTGTCGCATATAATAACTCCATCGGTACAAACCACTTTAATCGACTAATGAGATCTTATTTATCTCACTTCGAGCTTAACTGATATTTATTTAGCAGCTCGTTTGCTTCATTGAATAATTGCCAATGAAATTAATAGAACGTTCATTATATACTTAGCGTGCACTTTTAGTAGCTTTTTGTGTAAGGAATTTGCTTTAAATCATTAAGTTTAACAAGGTCCAGAGGTTCCTAGAAAGAGTTTCTGTTGAATCTACGTCAGCAATTACGGGTTCGATTCTTAGTTAGAAGCCAAATATTTATTTATTGCGTTTCTATTTAAGTTAAATAAGAACGCAATAAATAAATATTTTAAAATAAATGTATTTATAACTAACGACTAACTCTTGCTTTACTCGCCTTCGTCCCTAGGTGATTCTTTAAAATGACATAACTTGGTCTTCACCATATTCGGTATTCACCATACTCTTTACATAAAATCCTAGAACCCGATTGCAGCACCATCTACCGGGTGCAATTGTAAATCTAAACCATTGAGAGACCCACTCAAACAGACACAAAAAATTTCATTAAAATCGCTTTAGCCATTTAGGAGGAGTTCAGTAACATACACACGTACAGAAGAATCTATACATACCTATAATAAAAACAGTAACTTAGCGAAATCGATGTGCACATTTCACGCAAAAATTACGAAACCGATTTTAAACAAATTTTATATAGTATATAATAACTTATCACTCGGGTCAATATTTAGATACCTTTTATTACAGAAAAATCTTTCATTCCCGCGGGAAAACATAATAACTGGTTCTATCGAGTAGTTTTCGTCTAGCGGTTCGAAATATACTTGTCTTACGCTGGCTAAACCTTACTAGATACCCTAAAACAATGTACTAGAAAATATAAAGATAGATAATAATAATAATAATAAATATGTTGGGACATTTCACACAGCACCATCTAGTTCCATGGTAAGCTACGAGGCTTGTGTTATGGATACCAGATAGTTGATACACTACACATATATAACTTTAAATACATACATATTATAAATATAAACACCCATGACTGGAGTACAAACATTCGTGCTACACAAATGAATGCCCCCAGCGGGACTCGAACCCGCGACCGCTGGCACAGCAAGTAGGATCACTACAAACTGAGCCAAACATGTCGTCAAATTATTATTTACATAGGGTTGTAAAACATAACAAAAGGTAATATTGGTAAGTTTGTAGTAGCGTAAAATCTCTACAGAATAATAATACTTTTCGCTGTGTTGGGAGGTAGCTTATTTGCAACGGCTAAAAGCCCCGTCCATTAATGCACTCAAAGGTAAGCCTATTCGGAGGTTACCGGTTCGAAAAAGCTCCACAGACGAGGAAAGAGACAGACAGATATCTAATAAATCCTAGAGAATGGAAATGGCTTAAAATTAAAAGCATTCCATTTGTTACAATATTTGTTTAGAAGGAAATATATTTGTGTATAATTTGTGTGCATTTTAAATACGAACGGTTTTATTTTTCTTTCGCTCAGTGTTCAATTTTTTATTTTATTTCCTTCGAGTTTTTAACCGACTTCTGAGAAGGAGGAGTTTCTATGTTCATGTGTATCGTTCCTATCGTTCTTTTTTTTATATATAAGAGTATGTTCCGAGCTTAGTGCTTACGCGCTTGCTTGGGGAATTGAGTGAAGCGGGTTCATATCTCGGGTCTTGTCTTACGGTGAAGGAAAACATCGCGAGGAAATCTGCATGTCTGAGAGAACCTAGCAAGTTTTCGAAAGACATGTGAAGTCCGCCAACCCGCACTTGGCCAGCGTGGTGGACTATGGCCTGATACCCCTCGTATTGAAGGGAAGCCCGTGTCCAGCAGTGGGATATTAAAAATGGGCTGAATACTAAATGTTCCAATTTATCGGAGATGGCATGACCGATTTTGCTACTTTGAACTATATTAAGATAGGTCCCGAGGTGACCCCATAAAATTTTCTTTGACATGAAGTATACCGTTTTCAAGAAAATCAGGAAAAACCATGTGAAGTATGTTAACAGGTCTAATTAGCCATATTTACGTATTTTGAATTGTGATACCGTCTTGGTACCGACTTCGAAAATATCTGGTTAGGTATCTAAAGTAGGTAAATGAAAACTACCAACCAGTTATTTTTAACTTTTTAGTGTCTAGAAAGTTTTTTATTTTTATTTCTAGCCTGTCAACAAAATCATCTCAATTAGCCACCCAACGTCATTACAATTTTTTTCAAAATGGCAGCTTAGTATATAATTGGTGAAATTAAAACAAAGTACCTGAACGACCGAGTTTTGAACAGCCCTTTTTTCTTTTCTTTTTTGTAAAATCGTGTTATTTTCTGAAAAGTTGCGTTTTTCCATAAAGAACACCTATATAGATTAACTTAAAAAGCAAAAACTTATCTAAATACAAGATTTGATCCTAACGTTAGAGCCGTTTCTGAGATACACGAAATAAATTTATGTGCATATATTTTATTTTATTTATTTATTTATGTACCATAAAATATACGTTATACAAAATAAAATAACAAAATGTTGACAAAGGATAACTTATCTCTTTAAGAGATTTCTTCCAGAAACCCTTCAGAAGTGAGAAAATAAGTTAATATAGTGCGGTGTAGGTACAGTACAGCATTGAATGGAATTGTCTTATTATTAAAATACATATATTAACTAAATATTATGATTATACAAATATATATATATATTCACATACATATATAAATA